AGTCGTGAAAATTGGCACATTCGCGTCTCTGACAGTCCCTGGAAACTCCGCAAGTTTCTCCGGCTAATAGCGGCGACACGCTGCGTCGTGTGAAAATTTGTTTTTATCCATGAAACGAGCGTCCCCTCCGTAATCTCTGCTGCCCGGAATGTGGCGAGTGATATCCGCACACCGGTACCCGACACGGTTGGCTACATACGGTGCGAAAGAAGTTCAACACACGTACATACCCCCCCCCCCCCCCCCATCTTCACCAACCTGCAGCACGAAATATGGTCAAACATCCCACGTGACTAAAAAGGGCAAAGTGTGGCATGCGGTGCAACTGGACCGGGAACCTCCAGGCTGAAAGTGGCCCAGGTTGCCGGGCTATGAAGAGGTAGGGGAAGAGGTTTGGTGACGGGAAATTGAATTCTTTGCACTGGGGCTCAGGTCAACTGTGAAAGGCGTGGGGGGGGGGGGGGGGAGGCATTTCTATCCAGCGGTGGACTGATGAGTGCCCCATACATTAACTGGAATCGTTACGTTGGCCTCACTAACCTAGATTGTTTCGCAGTGAATGGTGAGAATTTCCTGCGGGCTAATTTCGTGTTTCCGGTAATTGTCTGCCCAGTCGTAGCCAATACAATTGCAGACTGAGTCAAACAATGCGCTCCACATCCTGAACAGGAACGTTGTTCTCATACAAAGGGCTTAACTACTGCTGTTGCTCAGCACCTAGGGAGAGAGTATGAACATACACAATGCTGTACCAGTAGTAGCACGTAGATATAAACAATCTGGAAGAAAACATCTTAACAGATTCGCCTAAAAAGTAAAATATCTCCATATATATAAAAGGCAAAGTCGTGAATATGTGTGTCTGTTCAAAATGTTTAGCGTACTTCCCGACATGCAACAAATTTAAAATGTGTCATGAGGGTACTTTCCAGACTGTACACCATGCAAACATTTTAAAAATACACTTTTGATTTTTTTTTGGGGGGAGAGCTCAATAATGCATTTATCTTTTGCACGGCAATTGAGCTGTGACGTCAAATCTGTCATGTGACCCGCGCACGTGGAAGCGTAACGCATTGTCGTGTTGTAGTTAGCGCTACGCTGCGCTACGAACCCGGCGACCCGAGTTCGATTCCCGCTCACGGCCACCGCCGGTGACGATTATTTCAACCAGCTCCTGGGCCCTCCCCTAGGTCGACTCAGCCTCAAACGAGTAACTGCTGTTGGGGTGTGAACATCGCCGGGCGTGGTGGATCCAAGTCCCGGGCGAAGCCGGGGTAGTACAGCTAGTATATGAATAAAAGTGGTGACGTTCTGGGCAATGGTCACTCTTCATAGCACGTAGAAAGGTGCGTGTCTATGGGTCTCTGTGCAATTCTCTGGGTCTCTGTGTATGTCAGTCCAATGCCATAATTATAATATATATTGAGGGGGTACACATCCCCCCCAATATTCAAATATGCTCAAAATGCCCCCCCCCCCCAATATATTGCTATAAAATTGATTTCTGTTTATATGATTGTGGGTTATGGTTGTACTTTATTAATCCCTAATCTCTGCCATTACATACAATGAAACAAGAAAATTAAAAAAAGAAAACACAGAGCAATGTAATACAATACACTATTAGACATCATTGTTAAAATTTGTATTAAAAGTCCATCGTATGTGTTACTATTTTTTTTAAATATTTTAGGCAGGAAATTAAAATTTTGATTTTTTTTCTGGGGGGGGGGGGCCCCTGTAAGATTTGGTCCCCCCCCCCCAATGTTGACTCCATGGCTACGGTCTTGCGTCAGTCTATGGGTCTATGTGCATGGGTATCTATGAGCCTACGGTCTATGCTGTGCGTAAATGATGTGCCTCGCTATCACAGCACAGGCATAGATAGCACTGCTGCGTAACATTCAATAGAGTGTCTGGAATCATCATTCTGAATGGCCAAACAGAAGCATGCTGTCCATAATAGAGGTTTTTTTTTTTTGGGTTCGATCGCGTAAATATATAAATGTGTCGTTAAAACCCGCCACCACCCGACACAGCCGACTAGCAAGGGTTGTCACCTAAACAGAACGTGGCCAATTCGTCACTAGCACAGCAAAACCTGTTTGTTGTGCTGTACTATGGACGAATTGGCATGCTCTTGTTACTTACTAGTTTGGCTGTAGTAGTAGGTTTTTACCCTTTTAAACTGGTACAAAACTGACATTATTATCATTATCAGAGTTCTTCTTTTTGTTTGCATTTTTGACTACTTGTGTTGTGGTTATTGCAAAAATGATGCCTTGTACAAAGGTGTCAGTTTTGTACCAGTTTAAAAGGGTAAAAACCTACTACTATATTTTGCCACTGGTAAAAGAGGTCTCATAGTGTAGTTTGGCTGTGTCGGGTGGTGGCGGGTTTTAACGACACATTGAAATATTTACGCGATCTAACCACCCCCCCCCCAAATAAACCCTCTATTATGGATGATATTGGTCGCGAAAGCCTCCTACATCGTGTTAAACAGAAGCATGCTGAACAGGAGGGGGTGGGGGTGCATTGCACTTGGCAAATAGCCGTACGCACCAACGCGTCCAGGGCTGGACCGCTACATCCGATCGAGAAGAAGAATAATAATGAAGAAGAGATGAGAGAGACCATTCGACGACTCCAATGTCCGATTGACTAGAAGATTGGCACCGTCGTCATCATCATCATCACAGCTTACACCATGGCACACCAACCAAATGTACAAATCGCAAGCCTGTTGCTCCACAAAATCAGCATCGACTTCAGCCGTGCGAAGAAAAATTGTCGTGTCGACAATTTTGTTGACAGAGACGCAGATTTCACCACCACCACCACCCACCACCACTAACCTCTGGGGTGGCCAGCGCCACGCCCGGCCGCCTTTGTCTCCCCCAGTGACGATTTTTATTTTTTACACGCCGTACCGGGTACTCATTTTGAGGCTGAGTCGACCTAGGGGAGGCCCAGGACCGGCTCGGATAATCGTCGCCGTGAGCGGGAATTGAACTCGGGTCGCCGGGTTTGCAGCGCAGCGCGCGCTAACCTCTGCCCCACCGCTCTCCACGCACTGAAATACGCACATTGATATGTACACCGGCACACACCAACACACACACACTGACCCCACAAACACCGACACACACACACTGACACACACACACCAACACACACACAGTGACCCCGTACACACCAACACACACACACCAACACACACACACCAACACACACATACACTGACCCCTCACACACCAACACACACACACACTGACCCCACACACACCAACACACACACACACTGACACACACACACTGACCCAGCACACACCAACACACACTGACCCCACACACACCAACACACACACACTGACCCCGCACACACCAACACACACACACTGACCCCACACACACCAACACACACACACTGACTCCGCACACACCAACACACACACACTGACTCCGCACACACCAACACACACACACTGACCCCACACACACCAACACACACACACTGACTCCGCACACACAAACACACACACACTGACACACACACACCGACATACACACACTGACCCCACACACACTGACCCCACACACACTGACCCCACACACACCGACACACACACTGACCCCACACACACCGACCCCACACACCCCGACACACATACACGCACGCCCCACACACACCAACACACACTGACCCCGCACACACTGACACACACACACTGACACACAGACACACACAGACACACACATAGACACACACACTGACACACACTGACACACACACTGACACACTTACACACACACACTGACACATAGACACACACTGACACACACTGACACACACACACTGACACACACTGACACACACACTGACACACACTTACACACACACACTGACACATAGACTCACACTGACACACACTGACACACACACACTGACACACACTGACACACACACACACTGACACATAGACACACACACTGAGACACACAGACACACACACTGACACATAGACACACACATAGACACACACACTGACACACAGACACTGACACAGACAACAACAACAACAACAACCGCCATTCGCCACTAAGTGGCGGTGACGTCACCACGATGCTTGTGCCAGGCCAAGTGCACCTTGAGGCCACGTGAAGTGTCGAAAGCCCGCTGGCAGGAGGTCACGGGGCAGACCCAGGTGCCACTGGTCGACTGACCGAGATGACCGAGATGACTGGCTGATGCACCACCTGTGCCCCCTACTGTGCCAACTTGCTGTGCTTTAGCCACCCGGCGCTCCGCTCGTTGTTGTGAGCGTCGCTCCTCCGCCCTCCGTTGTTGTTGGAGGGCGACTGCCTCCAACTGCCCAGTAGCGTCCTTCACGAGCCTCCTCCACTGAGGCCGATCTTGACACCGCTGGTACCAGTCATCGGCAAGTCCACTCAGCTCCACGTCCTCCTGTACCACATCACTCCATCTCTTCTCCAGCCCGTGCCGCGCCCGTCTAGCCCCCTCGATCCGGCCGAACAAAAGCTGTTTCGGCATGCGGTGGCTGGGCATGCGGGCTACATGACCCAGCCAACGCAGCCTTGCCTGCCGGAGGAGCTCACTGATGGGACTTTGCCCAGATCTTTCAAGGATTTGTGAGCTCCTCACACAATCCAGCCTGGTTAAACCCAGGATGGATCGTAGGCAGGCCAGCCTAAATGTTTCCAACCGGCGAAGATGCTCCACCAGGGGGGTCCACGTCTCGCAAGCGTAGAGAAGGGAGGGAATGACCGTGGCCGAGAAGACACACACACTGACACACACACACTGACACACACACCGGAGCAACGCATCCCTGACGCTCTCATCTCCATCCCCCAAACCGGCACCATCATCCTCAATCATCAGCCTCTCTCCGCAATGCAATCGTGTATTTGTTCTATATTTTTTACATATATATATTTTTTAAAAATAAATGTTGCAATTAATATGCACGTACCTCTCGTTAAATGTCCGTCACCGTGAGCCGGTTAAAATTTGTCTGCTATCCCCTTCCAGATGTTGGCGTCGCTGTTAGCAGCAGCAGCGTGATTGTATCTCTCTCTGTGTGTGTGTGGATGTGAGTGGTGCTGGTGGTGTCTCGTGCAATGACGGTGGTGCTGCTGCTGCTGTTTGGGGATGTGTGCTGCGTATGGAAGTGGTGGGGGGGGGGGTAAAACATCGTGGTGCCAACCCAGAGGTCATAAAACCCTCCAGGTTTTAGCTCCATCATAAGCAGCAGCCATGGTCAATCCACTGCTGGATGATGACATCCTGGCACCATCATCAGCAGCCATGGTCAATCCACTGCTGGATGATGACATCCTGGCACCATCATCAGCAGCCATGGTCAATCCACTGCTGGATGATGACATCCTGGCACCATCATCAGCAGCCATGGTCAATCCACTGCTGGATGACGTCATCCTGACACCACCATCATCAGCAGCCATGGTCAATCCACTGCTGGATGATGACATCCTGGCACCATCATCAGCAGCCATGGTCAATCCACTGCTGGATGACGTCATCCTGACACTATCATCAGCAGCAGCCATGGTCAATCCACTGCTGGATGACGTCATCCTGACACCATCATCAGCAGCAGCCATGGTCAATCCACTGCTGGATGACGTCATCCTGACACCATCATCAGCAGCAGCCATGGTCAATCCACTGCTGGATGACGTCATCCTGACACCACCATCATCATCAGCAGCCATGGTCAATCCACTGCTGGATGACGTCATCCTGGCACCATCATCATCAGCAGCCATGGTCAATCCACTGCTGGATGACGTCATCCTGACACCCCCAGTAGCAGCCATGGTCAATCCACTGCTGGATGACGTCATCCTGACATCATCAGCAGCTATGGTCAATCCACTGCTGGATGACGTCATCCTGACATCATCAGCAGCCATGGTCAATCCACTGCTGGATGACGTCATCCTGACATCATCATCAGCAGCCATGGTCAATCCACTGCTGGATGACGTCATCCTGACACCCCCAGTAGCAGCCATAGTCAATCCACTGCTGGATGACGTCATCCTGACACCCCCAGTAGCAGCCATGGTCAATCCACTGCTGGATGACGTCATCCTGACACCACCATCAGCAGCAGCCATGGTCAATCCACTGCTGGATGACGTCATCCTGACACCATCATCAGCAGCCATAGTCAATCTACTGCTGGATGACGTCATCCTGACACCACCATCAGCAGCAACCATGGTCAATCCACTGCTGGATGACGTCATCCTGACACCATCATCAGCAGCAGCCATGGTCAATCCACTGCTGGATGACGTCATCCTGACATCTTCAGCAGCCATGGTCAATCCACTGCTGGATGACGTCATCCTGACACCATCAGCAGCAGCCATGGTCAGTCCACTGCTGGATGACGTCATCCTGACACCTTCATCAGCAGCAGCCATGGTCAATCCACTGCTGGATGACGTCATCCTCACACCACCATCAGCAGCAGCCATGGTCAATCCACTGCTGGATGACGTCATCCTGACACCATCGTCATCAGCAGCCATGGTCAATCCACTGCTGGATGACGTCATCCTGACACCCCCATCATCATCAGCAGCCATGGTCAATCCACTGCTGGATGACGTCATCAAACTTCATAGAATCACTAAAGCACCGGATTGCAATTAATCCCCTCAGCGTGTGCGGGCCCACACCGTTCGTTCAGACTTCATGCAGCCGCGGCCGGTTACGTAACAACTCCCTCAGCGAAATTCGTTCACGCTGAAAGTGAATGGGATAACACGAAATTTTCATGGCTAATCAAAAAGGGAAATAATCACATTTTTTGCAACCAATCAAGCACCGGTAATTAATAAATGTATTGAAAATAAGATCATCCTAAAATGCACCTTCAAGTAAAAAAAATCCTGGCTTAAAATGAATAATAAAATTAATATATTCTAATAAGAAATGCCACAAAGGTAAAAAACCTCTAGATTCACATGCACTGCACGGGTGTGAGGCGGTTTTCGGGGGGTGGGGGGGGGTACCCCTGCCGCGGGCCCTAGGAAACCCCGCACCGAGCCCCCCCCCCTCTTCGCTCCACCGCTCTCCATTGGTTGGCTGCAACGTAGCGGGGCGGGGCTTGTTTATAATTGCCCCCCCCCCCTCTTCTCTCCACCGCTCTCCATTGGTTGGCTGCAACGTAGCGGGGCGGGGCTTGTTTATAATTGCCCCCCCCCCTCTTCGCTCCACCGCTCTCCATTGGTTGGCTGCAACGGAGTGGGGCGGGGCTTGTTTATAATTGCCCCCCCCCCTCTTCTCTCCACCGCTCTCCATTGGTTGGCTGCAACGTAGCGGGGCGGGGCTTGTTTATAATTGCCCCCCCCCACCCTCCTCCTCTAGCCCCGCCCATTAAATGGTCCAACCCCTTTGGATGAATTCTCAACAGAATTATCATTCTAGATTTGAATGATAATATCATTATATGCTTGGGTCTTTCGGTAAAGTCACGTAGATTGGTTCAAAGAAAATAATAAAAAAATAACAAAACAACTACGACGTTTCGATCGCAACACAAGCGGTCGTCTTCAGGAAGAGTGGGGTTAGCTCTCAAGGCAAACTGTCAATGACCATAAAAATGACCATAAGGGGCCGTCCATAAATGACGTCACGTGATTTTTGGACGATTTTTGACCCCCCCCCCCCCCATCGTCACACGGCGTCACAAAAAGTCAGACCCCCCCCTCAAATATGACGTCACAAAGCTCTGCCCCCCCCAAAAAATAAAACATGCTTCAAATCGCTTTAAACTATTGTCATTGTAGTGCGTATTTAATGTGCCGCTGCACTCTGATGTTGTAGGAGAAAACATTTATTAAAAAGTCAATTTAATTAAGTAGAACGTGTTGTCTATATTTATTTAAAGTTGCGCATTTTGATGTGACGTCACATTTCTCAAACCCCCCCCCTCGTCACACATCGTCACAAATGTCTGACCCCCCATCCCTCTAGGTGCGTGACGTCATTTATGGACAGCCCCTAACGTGGATAGAACGCACGACACAACCTGACATTGGCCGCACGGCGTTCGCTGCCTCTGCGAGAGAACAACTCGGGGGCGCGAGGAGGAATCACAAGTTAGTGGCCACGTGGTGAGCCGGCGCTCCCAAACAATTGCCCAAGTTCTGCGATCCTCGACGCATCGAGATCGTTTTCATCCAATTACCCAATTGTATATATATCTGTCCCTCTACAATAAAACAAAATTATTCAAGTGTTTGAAACCAGGTTACGGGATCAGTGTCCTAAGTTGAGACCAGGTTACGGGATCAGTGTCTAGAGTTGAGACCGGGTCTCAGGGTCAGTGTCTAGAGTGGAGACCGGGTCTCAAGGTCAGTGTCTAGAGTAGAGACCGGGTCTCAAGGTCAGAGTCTAGAGTAGAGACCGGGTTTCAGGGTCTCAGCGTCGAGAATAGAGACCGGGTCTCAGGGTCAGTGTCTAGAGTAGAGACCGGGTCTCAGGGTCTCAGTGTCTAGAGTAGAGACCGGGTCTCAGGGTCTCAATGTCTAGAGTTGAGACCGGGTCTCAGGGTCTCAGTGTCTAGAGTAGAGACCGGGTCTCAGGGTCAGTGTCTAGAGTGGAGACCGGGTCTCAGGGTCAGTGTCTAGAGTAGAGACCGGGTCTCAGGGTCTCAGTGTCTAGAGTTGAGACCGGGTCTCAGGGTCAGGGTCTAGAGTAGAGACCGGGTTTCAGGGTCTCAATGTCTAGAGTAGAGACCGGGTCTCAGGGTCAGAGTCTAGAGTGGAGACCGGGTCTCAGGGTCTCAGGATCTAGAGTAAAGACCGGGTCTCAGGTTCAGTGTCTAGAGTAGAGATCAGGTCTCAGGGTCTCAGTGTCTAGAGTAGAGACCGGGTCTCAGGTTCAGTGTCTAGAGTAGAGACCGGGTCTCAGGGTCAGAGTCTAGAGTAGAGACCGGGTCTCAGGGTCAGTGTCTAGAGTACAGACCGGGTCTCAGGGTCAGTGTCTAGAGTAGAGACCGGGTCTCAGGTTCTGTGTCTAGAGTAGAGACCGGGTCTCAGGGTCTCAGTGTCTAGAGTTGAGACCGGGTCTCAGGGTCTCAGAGTCTAGAGTAGAGACTGGGTCTCAGGGTCAGAGTCTAGAGTAGAGACCGGGTCTCAGGGTCAGAGTCTAGAGTAGAGACCGGGTCTCAGGGTCAGAGTCTACAGTTGAGACCGGGTCTCAGGGTCAGTGTCTAGAGTTGAGACCGGGTCCCAGGGTCAGTGTCTATAGTAGAGACCGGGTCTCAGGGTCAGTGTCTAGAGTAGAGACCGGGTCTCAGGGTCAGTGTCTAGAGTTGAGACTGGGTCTCAGGGTCAGAGTCTAGAGTAGAGACCGGGTCTCAGGGTCAGAGTCTAGAGTAGAGACCGGGTCTCAGGGTCAGAGTCTAGAGTAGAGACCGGGTCTCAGGGTCAGAGTCTAGAGTAGAGACCGGGTCTCAGGGTCAGAGTCTAGAGTTGAGACCGGGTCTCAGGGTCTCAGAGTCTAGAGTGGAGACCGGGTCTGAGGGCAGTGTCTAGAGTAGAGACCGGGTCTGAGGGTCAGTGTCTAGAGTTGAGACCGGGTCTCAGGGTCAGAGTCTAGAGTAGAGACCGGGTCTCAGGGTCAGTGTCTAGAGTAGAGACCGGGTCTCAGGGTCAGAGTCTAGAGTTGAGACCGGGTCTCAGGGTCAGAGTCTAGAGTAGAGACCGGGTCTCAGGGTCAGTGTCTAGAGTAGAGACCGGGTCTCAGGTTCAGTGTCTAGAGTAGAGACCGGGTCTCAGGGTCAGCGTCTAGAGTTGAGACCGGGTCTCAGGGTCAGAGTCTAGAGTAGAGACCGGGTCTCAGGTTCAGTGTCTAGAGTAGAGACCGGGTCTCAGGGTCAGCGTCTAGAGTAGAGACCGGGTCTCAGGGTCAGCGTCTAGAGTAGAGACCGGGTCTCAGGTTCAGTGTCTAGAGTAGAGACCGGGTCTCAGGGTCAGTGTCTAGAGTAGAGACCGGGTCTCAGGGTTAGAGTCTAGAGTAGAGACCGGATCTCAGGTTCAGTGTCTAGAGTAGAGACCGGGTCT